AGCTTGGAAAAATTGACTCAGTGGATCGTCGTAGCCCGTTTGTTTTCGGCGAAACTCTTTTCATTAAGATTCACATGATTCATGAGTCCTTCGGTTGATCCTTCCTTAAAGCTACGTTCATCACGTACTAAGGATCTTAATCCGGCTGTAATCCTGTGTAATCCTGTTGTTGCACTGTCTGCAAAGTTGCAGACTTTGGGCTCTTTGAGCACGCCGTCCAGACTCGCTATAATTTTTTCGGACACTGTAACAGTGGGAATGGCACATAATGCGTTCACCACGAACGTCATGGTCTCGGTAGTGCTGACGACATCTGGATTAACTTTATATTCCTGCGTGCATGTTCTCAAATGCCTTAGAGAGAGGAATGCACCCCCTCTCCGTCCGAAGTGCACGTTTGTAATCATTAAGTTGAGAGTTGCAAAATAGGCGCATATAATTCCATGCAACAACCTTCAAGAACCTGTAGACCCTACAGATGGTAGATTAAAGCCTAGTGGTTGTAATCCTCTTCCGAGAGGAACGTAAGGTAGTGGTTAGTACAGCCCATAGAGCAGACTATTGTCTGCGGCTGCTTAACATAAACTGAGGTTACGCAGACTCAAGTTATCTCTTAACTACTCTCGCAGCCATACTGTCTCATCCATCGTAATCTCTAAAGCATCTCGACTAATGCAACTATTTTTTCTGTGCTTTATAACGCCCATGTGATCAGTAGAAATTGAAAGCTATATACCACATTTTTCCAGACTTCCAGAGGACCACCGTCTTTGTAACTTCTGACATAGCATCTTTTGTCCTTGTCCCTCTGAATGTTATCGTTTTTCGTGACCTCTTTTGACTTGCGTTGTTGTTGCTTCATCGTCGCCGCTGCTGCACGTTTAGATTTCTTCTTTATTATCATTTCTATAAGCTTTCATTTCTTCTTCGCTTCCCTCGATGTCGCGTTGTTCCTGTTTTGTTCTTATCGGCTGCAGTGTTTCGTTCGATCCACTATCCTTCGTCTTATGTTTTTCGTTAACAACTACGGCCAGACCATATTTTTTCTTCTTACCTCGCTTGTATGACACGTTCTTCTTTCTTCGTTATCGCTGCACTCCTTTGCTGCGTTTGTTCCTCGCGTCATTTTTTCAATAAACTCGTTTGTAGTGCTGATTGGAATACTCCGTGAATTTGCGTGTTATATTCCGTGTTAGGACGCATCCTGTCGGTTAATATTTTTGGTTAATTATACCTTGACACTCGCCAAGATTGTCTCCAGCAATCTGATGGTGTTGTGTCTAATTCAGTCTCCTCTGTACGTTGCTTGCCTGAAGCATGATGCTCTGTGTTCACCTTGAGTAGCCGTTTTTAAAAGATCTTCTCTTGACGTTTTTAGGATCCAGTGGAAAGTTATTTGCTCGCTCTAGTTTACATCGTTCATTATGAACCATGAGACTTCACTTGAGAGCCGTTGTGCAGGGAAATGCCGTCTTGTCAGAGTGAGTATGGCGGTGATTCTATGAAGTCGATGTCTGCTGAAACACGCCATGCAGACCCTTTCACTGGAACGACGTTTCGTTGCCTTAATAGGTAAGGGACTCCTTTATCGAAAGACCAAACCTTGACACCGTCTTTCTTTGATAAAAAAGACGGATTCGTCTGACTGAAAGAAACTACCTCAGGAATGACATGTTTCGCAATAGCTGAGTTATAGGCCTGTCCGAGGTGAACTGTCGATAAACATTCTTTAATCCGCATATTCAGTTTCTGATACAAAGTAATTTATTGCTGCAGAAATATGCGTAATGTTACACCGCGAGTAACGCATTTCGTTAAACGCGTTGCTTCATGGCCTGAACATCCTCGATACTTCCGATCTTGTAGCCAGTTGTGTGGTTGTGGTACCGCGAATGGTGGCCCATACACTTGTATCTTTAATTGCAGCGATCCAGCTCTGTTTCTGTTTCTTCTAGGAAAGTAAATTAACTGTTAGAGATATTCACGGAATGTAGAGGTCGTTCTACGAAGTTAAGAAAGCAAAATATAATCAACATTAAATGGGAAAAGGTACCAGTTAGGCGTTAGTTTATATGGCATAGCACTTTAATGTCAACTCCCTAAATGGTCTGAAAAGAAAGACAAGACATCTTTTTGACCACATGGCTCAGCTAAGCTAGCCAACGATAGAAACGTACAAATTCTCTGAATCGAGTTGTGAGTCAAACGTAATGTACAGAGAAAGGATTAAAGTCCAAACCAGATGTTTTAGACCTTTGTTGGTTACAGTTCTTCATTGGCACCTATTCAGTCATGTATATGTGAAAATGAAATAGGTGATAATTTTCCATAAACTGAAAGTAAGAATGCACAACTTGATTTAATGTTTTCAAAGAATTTAGCCTATTCGTATATCGACAGTTTGCATTTAAACCAAAGATGCTCTTCAAAAGATTAAAAATATCTGGTCATAAGCAGCTGTGCGTAAACTTTGTTTTCAACAAATTTTAAATTACAAAAATAATCTAAACTTAAGAGTTTTCAATGTGAGTGACTAGAAGGGCAAAAATGTCAATGACTTTCCAAGGGGATACTTTTCAGGACGGCAGTGTCTCGTACACTGTCAGGATCAGCTCATTGACGTGACGATGAGTA